CGTAGGAGATGGGCTTTCTTTAGTGTGCTGTGGCCCAAAAAGAATCTTTTGGGAAAGATCTAGCCAGGTCGAATTTAGATTTTGGTGGAGCGGGCATGAAGCGGGTACCAGGTTAGTTAGTCACTGGATAAGCAAGCCTTGCGAAGATCTTCTCTTTTTCCTCCTTGCGTAAGGATTACGATGACTAATGACGCTCATACTGTAATAAGAAAGAGATCATAAATCATATTATTATCATGCCTACCTAGTACCTAGTACCTACCTACCTAGGTAGTGTCTGGTGTATCATACTAATCAACTAATCATCATGACTGATGTTCCAACAAAACTAAACACATGCTGGGATACTGGGATCAGGATAGAGCGCTGGGATAAGAAACGGTGCCGATATCCGTAAGGTTAAGGTTACTTACTGTAGGAATCTTTTTAATAATCTCAAGTCTTGAGTCTTGACTCTTAATAAGATTTCTAGGACAACAACAGTGTCACGGTTCATATTGAAGGAAAATAAGTAAAGGCCGATTCCCCGGTTGTCAAACCGCGGTAGCGTAAATACACTTTTCTCTAGAACATGATGAACATTTCACTCCATAATAAGATATTACTTTTTTTGCTTCCGAGCAATTGACTTTAAATAATATTAAGCTTTTTCCACAATTGCCTATGAGCAACACCACCTACGGAGTAATTATAAAGTTACTCATTAGTATCCGATCAATATCCAGATTGTTTTCCGCGGGATCAGAAGATACTAAGATAGTATGTAGTATGTACGGAGTAGGCAGACTCGGAGTAGGCATTCTAATTCTTTCCTTCTTCCATACCTCGATCCAAATGGCTGGCTGCTGGTTCCATATATTTTCACTCCATAATCAGTAAACGATCTTCAAATCCCAATATGAAACGAAGAACTTAAACTTCTGTAATCTTTAACCGCGGATTATTATCAAGATCAACAACGGTGCCGTCCCAACTAATGTCCTTCAGCTCGAAAAGAGAAAAAGATGGAGGATTTTATTTTATATCCGCTGTTATTGGCCAATTATTTTCACAACCTGTTCACTTCTCTGCATCATTTTTTGATCGGTACGAAAAAGATATGTTATCCATGTTCATAACCCAGGCTCCCCCACCCCTTGGTAAGACATCTAGAACGATCCTTTTTCGAATGGGACCTTAAACCCTTTGAGTGATGATTTGCCAAGTTACACCCATCGGTGCACCCAAGAAATGAAGGCTCCACCATTTTTTTTATCCTTTCTTCGATTCTAGATTTAAGAGAATTATCCGAAAGCTTTCTTTTCATTTGACACGGAGTGATTGGCTAGAATTGACAAGTCCGGAAATCATTTGAAACGAACATATCTACGTATTCGGTATTTCAAAGAGATAAAAATGGGCTTGCATTAAAAAAAGATATATATGGAGACTGGATCTTCCTCATTTCGCATTCCTTCTGTGTTGTTGAAAGCATAATCGTTACTCAATGAATCACGTACTCCGTACTTCCAAATAATAAAGGCAAAATTCTTCCATGCTGGTAAAATACGAGAGCATCACAAAATGAAGGGGGTACAACTTTGACGGAGCAGGCTCCGAAAGAAAATTCCTTGACAACCTCGGGTCAGAATATCCTGCCACTTTTACGAATCTACCGAGTAAGGATATTGCTATTGAGATACACGAGATTCCTTCAGGCAATACCTACCGAAGTAGATGGATGTATTAGATTTTTTTACGCCAATCAGGGACTTACATATGCGATTAAAACAGCCTTTTTTCTGTAATCTCGGCATTCTCAGGTCTCCGATCATTATTCATGATTTTCTATTCCTTCCTGTTAAAAAGAAATGCAGAAAATTTATACTACCATCAAAAGGTGATATTGCATCAATCTTCAGACACAGGCACATTCCTACATCGTCAGCAAGTGTCAGCACTGTAGCGCGGGAGTACCAGCCGTCAAAACGCCTCTTCCATTCTGCATCCTGCGATGGAGGATCAAGAATTCGATCGTCATACCTGTAGTAATGTATAAATCCTGTAAACGAATCTCCTCTAATATAGTCTTTTAAAGTGTTGATTCATCACAACAGCACTATTCTAACACCTATTGAATGGCTCGGCATGAAAGGATTCCGCAGAGGTTGTGGCTGAACTTGTCAATAACTTGGGGAAGATCAAAGTCAAACCGGATTTCTAACCTGCGACGAGTATACCAACAATGTTGTACCATCTGTTACAATACGTGAAGTTTCTCCTTTCCGTCTCAACATACTTGTGCTGTGGAATCAATGTTGCTTTACTTCCGAGCCTCGATATCACAAACATGGAGACTTGAATCCTTGCTTGTACACATACATCTTCAGCCACCGTTCTTGTATGGTGGCATAGGTCAAGCAGGGACGTTTTATTTTCTTTTCCCCAATATGCACCCCCCACGAATTGTTTCAAAGCACAGTCCACAATGATCTCCGAGTGATATTGATGATCTTGCAGCAGCTCCGTCCTTTAAAAGAGCGAGCGGCAGCGCTGCAGCAGGGGCCAATTCTTCTGCCTTGGGAATACTGCGTATGGTTTAGTGTGAAAGAGAAGGTGGTGGTTGTAGAGGGCGCGGTACAGCACCGTGGCATGACTATTGACAGGATGTAGAGTTTGATTCGCTTGGCTCAACAGATGGCTTGAGAGAGCTACTGTTAATGGGTCGGTATTTACTTCAGCCCAAACACAAGACTCGGTGAATTCCAAACTCTCGGGCATCACAGCTCGTACAGAATCCAAAAAGCTACATCTTTGTGTGCTACACTCATGCACGTGGATACAAATTCTATATCATGTCCGTGAGCCATGTAACCCGACTTTAGAATGATTCATTCAAGGTAGGCAAGTGGTAGCGAAGGGAAAGCCTTAGGTCTTAGAGATACAATACGACTAGGTAGTTATACTCTTCGATCATACCGGTGAAACGAGAATCACAACTTCAAGCCGGACAGTGCCTCAAAAGATAAAGAATCGCCCTGTTCATATCATGAAGAGGTTGTTGGACAAACAGAACTTTGAGAAAGCCATGGGACCGGCCGAATTGAATTTCCATCTCCGATAATATCTGCCTTGATTATGAGGCGGTAAGTTTCAAAGGGCGGTGAGAGTCTCGAAGTTGGCAGAATAATATGGCAGTGGCAGCACAACACAAAAGCTTAAGACTTCTGAAAGGTCCTTCTTGGTGTCATCGTACATTCAAGCAATGATTTTATAACATGACTAGTTTTCAAAATGCTGCCTAGTAGCAATAGTACTTCAATCAATTTCATTATCAGTTTTCAGTCATGTCTATTCGCGTTCTTCTCCGCGAATATCCCCACCGCTCAATTGCACTTGTGACGCCTACCCACACTCTCATCTTCCGCCATAGTCCTACGAACGATTCCACAAGCAATGGATTACTGAATCCAATTTATCCAATATATCCACGTGGATCTACCGATGGACTTGCCGCTCCTAAGTGTATGGTAGAGTTTGCAGATGTCTCCTCAATTGATCTTAGCGAATACCGGACTTTGAGTCCCATGCCAGTCCATGGTACTCTCGGGCTCATCACTGTTAGCAATGATATATTCCTCTGCGTAATAACAGGCACGACAAGAGTGGCACAGGTGAGGCCGGGAGAGACAGTTGAAAAGATATTGGGAGTAGAATTTCACTGTCTAAACAATGCGGAATACGACAATACTTTTACGGACAATTTGGATCCCTACAATTACAATGCGGAAGATTCATATGGCCAGAATTTGAGTCGACGGGAGATAGCCGAGCATCCGTGTACTGACTTACAGAAATTGCTGAGCAACGGAAGCTTCTATTATAGCACGAATTTTGACCTCACCAATCGATTGCAAGACCGGTAAGCAAAGTTGACATACCTATGATGCCAGGCTCTTATACATTCTCAGATCTACAGATGCAACAGCGAATGATGTTGAGAGTTTCGACGACTCATTCTTATGGAACTCATATATGATTGGCCCCTTGGGGAAATTTCGATCTCGTCTTGTGTTACATGAACGAAAGGCCTTGGACAAGTCTGGCATTCTCACATCCGCCATTCGTGGTTTTGTCCTCACGATTACTATACCTCCCGCCTCTGATCCTTTGAGAACTTCAAGATCAGGCCTCCCATCATCTCTTACTCTAATATCCCGATTGTCTTGTCGAAGAGCTGGAACGAGGTTTAATGCTCGAGGAATCGATGACGATGGAAATGTGGCAAACTTCGTCGAATCAGAAACAATATATTGGAGTCCCTCAGCCAATGCACAATATTCTCCGGAACAAGGGGGCGAGAAACCAGCTGGTGTCTGTTTTTCATATGCCCAAATAAGGGGAAGTGTCCCAATATTTTTCGAGCAGGCACCTGGTTTGATTCCAGGTCAACAAAAGATTACCATAACTAGATCCCCTGAGGGTACTCAACCCGCCTTTGACAAACATTTTGAGGAATTGGAGCGAAACTACGGCGCCGTTCATGTGGTTAATCTGCTCAGTGAAACTAAACCAGGTGAAGCTGAAATTACTAGATCTTATCAATACGGGATTCGCCACTCGTCGTTGAATACACCGGAAGAGAAAAATTCCAAAGATCATCAACTGTTGAGGGTCACAGAATATGATTTTCATGCAGAGACTAAGGGTCCTCAAGGTTACGAGGCAGCTAGCATGATTCGAAGAATCATTGAACATTCAGCAGACGGTTTTGCATATTATCTATCTGAAGATATTGAAGATGCTGAAGATATTCCGGAGACACAAATGCGAAGAACAGTTGTTGTCTTACAACAAGAAGGCGTATTTAGAACGAATTGTCTCGATTGTTTGGACAGAACAAATCTTATTCAAACTATCATATCCCAAATGGCAATAGAGTCATTTCTCTTGCATAGGGGAGCCAGAGGCACTTCGGATTTTTGGATGCGTCATTCAACCATGTGGGCTGACAATGGCGACGCTCTTTCACGAATATATGCAGGCACAGGAGCTCTTAAATCGTCGTTTACGAGACATGGAAAGATGTCAATTTCTGGAGCTATTGCTGATGCACGGAAGAGTGCTACCCGACTATATATAAACAATTTTGCAGACAAAGGGCGACAGAATACTATCGACGTACTTTTGGGCAGACTTGTGGGACAAGTGCCCGTTCATTTGTTTGACCCTATTAATGATTACGTGACGGCTGAGCTCAATAAACGTAGCTCGGAGTTCCAATCTTCCGAGGTGATAAATATGTAAGATTATTACCCTTCTATCTTTATAAATATGCTGAATTGATGTTTTAGATGGGCTGGAACTTTCAATCTTAATGGACGTACATTTGGCATAGAAGAAGACTTGTCAGTATGGTTATGTCCTGAGCTAGAGAAGTCACAACAGCACCCCGAAATCGTAGTAGTTGGCTTCCAGGAAATAGTGGAACTAAGCCCTCAACAAATTATGAATAGCGATCCAACGATAAAACAAGAATGGGAACAAGCTGTGCGAAATACCCTAAACAAACATGCTAGTACAGTTACCAACGATCACTATGTGCTTCTACGAAGCGGTCAACTTGTGGGAGCTGCTTTGTGTGTATTCGTCAAAGCCTCTGTTCTTCCAAACATTAAAAATGTTGAAGGTAGTGTCAAAAAGACTGGGATGTCGGGTATGGCTGGTAATAAAGGCGCTGTTTCAATCCGCATGGATTATGCAAATACTCAGATTTGCTTCGTAACTGCACATCTAGCTGCTGGATTTAGTAATTATGAGGAACGTAATAGGGATTATCATACCATCCACAATGGGTTGAGGTTCCAAAGGAACCGTGGAATTGATGATCATGGCAAGTTTATATCCAGATGGTTGTCAGGATCGTCCACTAACAGTATCACAGACACGGTCATTTGGATGGGAGATTTCAATTATCGTATTGGACTTGGAGCAGAGCGGGTGGGTAACTTCTATACAAGCGTGATGTTAATTCTGACATCCTTCTAGGTCAAACAACTCATAAAAATGGGCGACTTGGAGACTCTATACGAGAACGATCAAGTGAGTGCCATAGCTCAGCAGAAACTGAAAAGCCTACTAACAAAGGCGTAGTTAAACCTCCAGATGGTAGCTGGCCTAACATTCCAATACTATTCCGAGTCACGGATTACCTTCATGCCAACTTATAAATTTGATATTGGTAATGATACATACGATACCAGTGAAAAAGCCAGAATTCCGGCCTGGACCGACAGAATACTCCGAAAAGGTAACAATCTGCGCCAAATAAACTACAATTCCGCGCCCCTTCGCTTTTCCGACCACAGGCCTGTCTTTGCAACATTTCAATGCACCGTGAGTATCATTGATGAAGCTGTGCGTGACTCTCTAAGCAGGAGCATCTATGAGCGAAGGAGGGAGGAGATTGGCGGTGCGACGGCTAGTTCAAAACTGGATGGAACGGATGACGAGGATTTGATTGGGTTCGAGAGCATCGAGCCTGGTTTACCACCTGCAAGCTCCGGTCAGAGGAAATGGTGGCTTGACGGGGGAAAACTTGCGAAGAGTCAAGTCCAACCACCAAGCAACTTAAGAGATGCAGTACCAAACCCAAAAAGGCCGAGCAATCCGTGGACTTTGACCGATGAACCTGATTGGGTTACTGTACCAAGGCCTGGTATGTCTTCACGAAACAATTCGCATCGAATGTCGTTACAGACTGGTATGGGAAGGAATGGCACAGCACCACGAAAGCTTCCACCGCCTTTTAATCCTTCAACTCTCCCCAACTCTCAAAACCGATTTAGACATTCAATAGCGAATCATTCGTCAACTACATCTTTGCCAGCAAAGACAGTACTGCCTCCACCACAGTTAATGGCGAGCAATACTTCGACTCCAGCCCCGACCACAACAGCGAAAGCAGTTCTTCCTCCACCACAACTCACACGCCGCGCATCCACAGAAACAACACGTTCCTCATATAAGAAAGCTCCACCCCTCCCGAGAAAACCTGTACATCTAGCTTCTTCTTCTGTTTCACCTACACTATCAACTTCTTCGTTGGCGTCAAGACCGAAAGAAACCCCTGGACCTATACCTGGGGAATATAGAGATTATTCACCACCCTCCAGAAGAGCTACTTCTAGCCTGGAAAAAAGTAATTTAGAACCACCACCTCCACCACAACCTCGGAGACCTGGGAGAAAGGTGGCCGATGAGGGGCCGAAGCCACAGCTGCCAAAAAGACCGGTAGACTTATTGGGCGATAGCGATGATATTGGGGGATGGGAAGCCTTGAAACCTGCTAGATGATTGATTCTTACTGGGATTAAAATAGGTGGTTTTATAAAGATATGGAAAGCATGGTAGATAAAATGAGTAAATTCCTTTGATAGAATAAAAGATTACCTCGGCGAGTATTTGTCGATTTTAGCGAGAGTTTATTATTACTTTGCAGCATCAATAGGATTGAGGATTGACACTAAAATGTTCCTTTAAGCTAGGTGGGTAGGTAATTAAATATACCTGATTCAAGCAGAAGATTTTCTCCAACCCTAAAGTTGGAGCGAGGGAAAAGAGGATAGGGTTTCTCATTCTTATTATTCGATTATGTATATAAATTAGTGTTTTTTTTTTCTGATGTTTAGTGTTATTTACTCTGGCTTTCTGGGTTACGGGGGTAGGTTGTAGTTTAATAGATAGGTAGGTAGGTAGGTGTTGACTTGTGGGGGATATTGTGGATATTGAAGTTGGGAATTTAGATGAAGAAGTGAGTGGGTGGGTGAGTGGATGGATGGAATATTGAATGTTGAATCTATTTAAAGTGATAAAGGTGTTAAAACTATAGAAATGTTTTTTGTAGATTTGAGGTTTGAGGTTTGGTAGATTTTGAGGTGGAGGATGGGATGAGATGGATGGATAAATTTGTTGCTTTGTAGGTAGGTATTGTTTGGTCTGTGGATGGGTGAGTGGATGGAATGAACATTTAAGTGATAAATTGAAAGCGGTAAGTAAATAACGATACAGTAGTAATGAAGTTATATTCTCGTATTAAAATCAGGTAATAGCATTTTCCTCTTAATCACAAGACGGATATCCTAAGCGACCTCAGGGTAATATTTCTAGCACAAAGAAGACCTAATTTATACATCTATCCCTTCATGCAACATACAAACTACATCACCTCTAATTCCCAATCTCAACCCTCCTTGCTTACTGCAGCATGCACCAACATCATCTCTCTCACACAATCTACGCCAACACCTCTCTACTCTCAAAACTATTCGTAACAACGATCCCGCCCTTCCCATTAAATTCCCCCTCCCCCATCCCCATCCCCTCCTCTAATTCCCCCTCCCTCTCATACCTCGCCGGTCCCTCCGCATGCGCAGTAATATGCTGCGTCTCGCTTCCATTCACACTTCTACTTCCATCAACACCCCTATGTCCATGTGCATGACCCATAATCCACGGTTCCCCCTTCGTTTCTCGATGCATATATTGCATTCCCGTATATTGCCCAAATATATTTCTCTCTCCATTTCCATTCCCATTTCCATTTCCGATTCTCTCACCATTTGCATTCCCATTCTCCAAACTGGGATGTTGAGAAGAACTTCTGATTGAGCGGAGTGAAATGGCGGATTGGACGCTCGCGACGAGGGATTGTACGCCCTTGGTGTTGAGAAGACCATATTGGGCGGGGAGACAGGCGGCGATTATTCCGAGGCCGGATTCGATCATGGACCAGTAGAGGCCGGATGTGCAGATGACTTTTTTTTGTGGGGACTGGTGTTAGTTTTGGGTTTGGGGTTTGGATGGGAGGAAGGGGAGAGGAGGGGAAGGGACGCACATTCAAAATCGGCGTGCGGATCGTAGTTTACGGCGGTGGCTTGGATAAATACTATCATTCGGACGATTGAGGCGGCGATGGTGCTGTGTATTTATGTTAGTCTGAATAGTATAAAGAGCGTCCTTACATGCATAACTTACAGAGCTCCTAGGGAAAAGATGGCTAGAATACCTATTTTACGGGCGACGGTTAGATGGAGACCGAAGATCTGGATAGATGTTAGTGATTGGGATCAGATTAGGTCTGAAAGTTTGAGGAGAAAGTTGAGTGAGTTCTGAATGCGATGAGTATGGATGAAGTGAAGTGAAGTTCAAGGCATCCACACTCCACTCCCCCCATCCTCCCCTCCGTCACTCCACACAAAAAGAACCCAGAGTCCAAAGAAAAAGCAACCAAACCACATACCATCGGCACCGGCAAACAAATAATAACAAAATCCGTCACAACATCACTAATAGCAAACGCATTATGCAAGCGATCCGTATCCACACAATGCGCCTTCTCCACAATCGTACTAGTCCAATAAGCGGAAAAATCCAAGCCACAGATAAAGAGGATGGAGAAGAAAAAGGAGAGTGTCCAGATGAGAATTATGATGATCATGAACCAAGTGACGATGTTGAAGCGGGGGGCGGCGTTGCGTGTGAAGACGCGCCGGTAGAAGAGGATGAGGGAGAGTTTGACGAGGCCGAGGGCGGGGATTTGGAGGAGCTCGCCGGGCCAGAATGCCTGGTTTTGTTAGTGGAGGGGGGAGGAAGGGAGTGAAGATAAGGTGAGGTGAGGGGGAAGACTTGGGGAATAGAAGGAGGGAATTGTGAAGGAGGGACGTACGATGTTTGAATCTGGTTTTCCGATTCGAGTTGATGGGGCTGGTGCTGGATATCCGAGTTGTTTAAGACCGACCTCTTTTCCAATAGTATATCAGTTTTCTATTTTCCCTCTTCCAAAAAGATGATATATATATAACTCACCAGCCATAATAGCGACGCCCATCCCAATCACAAAGACCTATATACGTAAATCATCATCAACATTTACCCACTCGAATGATCCAGATCCAGATACAGAGAGAGATAAATATACGAATAAACATACCAAAGCACCCATAATCAAATAATCATCAGCTCCCAAACCCACCTTCTTCAAATATCTAGCATAGATTCTCAGTCCCACTGTAGCAGAACAAACAGGTATGAAAACGGCTGCTGCTGCTATAGCTAAATTTGCATGGATTTGAAGATCTGCCATTTTGGTTTTGGGATTTGGGAGGGATATTGTATCGATGGTATTTTTTGCTCAGCTAGACAATTCGATATGTATGATTAAAACCCAGTGATGAAAGAAAGGAGATATAAAAATACGGAATGAAAATATGAGAAAAGAAAAGATAAAATCAGTCTAGTTTAGTCTTGCAAAGATAGAAAAACGATATAATAAAAAGGCACCCATTAATCTAGCAGAAGAAACAACGGGATAATAACTTCATATACATATACATATACCCATACAAAATACAAACACGGCAACAGACTCCGAGACCCCGTGGGGAAATCCCCTCGGGACATCTCGAGTTCCTCATTAATTATCAGCTCCTTGGTAGCCATAATCCCACAACACTCAGATGCTTACGAGGATGAAAATTAGAGTAACAGGAACTATGATTCTCGAGAGAGACGAGGCATTTCTCGGTGCGAGAATGTGTGTGTATATGGTACAGATAGATGTGCGAGATCCTTACCATAACGTTTTTTCAATGCAGTAGTGCTTCAGGTTGCTGGAGTGGGAAGACGGAATGATACATTAGTGTTCTTGGATGCGTGGTACGTGGGGATTTGGACGAATGAGACTGGGAGGGAAGTGGGACGGTGTGCTACGGTTGGTAGGTAGGTAGTTTTGTGTTGAAGTATTTACTTTTACTCACGATAATCCTTCGTTTGTGGTTTGATACCTGGTTTTGGTGCTCCTGTTAAGTTAACTAGAATGTTCCTACGCTGTAAAGGGACACATGAATTTATGGGTGATAGTGTAGTGGTAGTGGAAACCAATTCGTGATACGAAGATAGTTCTTAGGATGTGTAGAGACGCATCTATTTTCAACGCAGAAGTAAATTCGCACTGGGAAATTGATATTGAGGGATGAGTTCCGCGCTGAAAAAATGAATGGATGTACATAGTACAATCGGCGGTACTACTTGTAACATTGAATCATTTCTTGTGACACGACGCTACCTGATAACATTGGGATGGGCTGATTTCCATGTCTATGAGTGGCAGGTAAGGACGCACAGAACAATATTTTCGAGCATGGAAAGGAATACATCCTTGTGGTATTGCAAAAGTCTATGAAATGTTCATTCTGGTCAGTAATATAGGAAGACTAGAAATATAGGAATGGCAAGCGTAGTTCGGAAGATTTCTTCCTTCCGTCTTATATTCTCATCAGTATGGTAGCACAAGGTTTCGGCGGTTAAGAGATCCCGTGATAGTATGTCCGTTGACTAGACATTGAAAAGTCGTCGATTCCGAGGACAAAGAATCCCTACCGAGTACACAGAACATGTACGTTCCTTCACCCTGGTTACCATGCAATTTCCATGCAAGCGAGCTGCAGATAACGTTCTGCTAATTATGACTGTGTACCTCCTCGACCATAATTTGAGTTAGACCTCGATGTCGTACTACTACGTACAGATGTATTTCCGGATCTTTTGAGTTTCCCCAAAAATGATTTCAGAGCCATGGGTCTGAGGATTTAAAGATCTGAAACTGTGAGTTGGCATCGAACGGTTTGTGAGAGGCATGGTAAATGAGTAGGTATCCGTTAAGGAGTTGACAGCGGAGGGATATATATGGAAGTGTTCATCAGCGTTTTAGGAGCACAAATTTCGTTGTAAGAAGTGTAAGATTATAGCTTTGTGTTCTCTGCCGAGCATACTTCTATTGTTTTTTCATCTCATAGTCAAGCTTTTGCCGTGTCAAGCTTTAAACCAAACAGATACAAAAGTAAAGGGATTCGTCTGGATCTCTGTTCAAACTCTGTGCTCAATTATCATCTCGTACTGATATTCTTCAACTAGGAGCAAATCCCATTTTTGATTCGATCCTCCTGGTTTTCTTCTCAAACTTAAAAGAATTGTCCTCACGTACCACTCCTATGACAAAGTTTAGTCACATCTCTCCACGATGTTATCACCAAGCCAGATCAAAGTCTCTCTAGGAAAGCCAATCAGGATTCCAGATCGGCTAAAGTCTGCCGGGGCAATTGCACATCAAGTACATACTGGCAAGCTTTTGCTCAGCATCAACAATGATGATGTATGTACATTGGCATTAATGAGAATTTGATGCACAGAAAAGTGACTCCAGCATATCTCATGCAAGATCATGCTTGCATAAGCAGGTACCATCGAAATGACTGACTTGTGTATAGGTAGATGGAGTGATGCTGTAGAGGAAATGTTCTCATATGCGGCAATGCGCATGTTTGGGACGCATCTAATATGTCATCTAAAACTCACATACCATCCGAGAGATCAAGAACCACAAAAAAAGAAAATAACAACCTGAGTCTTAAGGTATGCGATAAAAATGCCAATACAACTACCTCAGAAGTCTTGAGATCATCTCACAACTTTTGTGAAAATATCAGTATTATGTCGAGATTTGTTTCATGTCAAAGTTGACAGTGAAGGAAGAACCATAATCCCATTCTTGATACCAACTCAGATATAAATGGTCACGGTTGCTTATCCTTTTATGTGTCATAAAATTGCTTTGAGGGAAATTTCTGTTTGAGGTGTATATATATACGTGTGTGTGTGTATAGTCACCGATATGCCTAATAAGACGAATTGCGACAGCCATACCATTTCCTATCGATGTGCATTAATTTAGCGATAGCCTAACTATTGATCCGTTAATATAGCAATTTAGAGTTCGAGAAAGCTGCTTGTTGTTTAGTAGATAATCCGTTCCGGACCTCGAGTTCTTGCAAGCGCAAGTTTAAGAACGTGAAGCTATTCACAACTTCAATTGAAGCATAGAAATTTTTATATAACAGAACAAGTAAAGTTCCTGGTGATAATGTTGATATTAGTAATCAACCAGATGAAAGATATGTTTTTATATGCAGAAGATCGATTGGATTATGGAAAATTGGTGGGAATCATCCAGTACTTCATTATTTTCCACCGCCGAGTCGACGGAATAACTGTCTTGGGGCGGGATAAATACCAACTTTTGCTGACAAAAGTTGTTCAATTCATCAGCGAACTCTGCAGCTAATTTATTATCATTTATCCTTTGGATCCATAAAATAGCTATATGCTATACACCACTCCGTATACTTTCTCCCTTGCAAAGGACGCTAGCTCAACTTTCCCCTTTCCAGCCCCGAATTCGTGTTGAAGCTGGAATCGCGCGATAAGGTCATGAGGCCCATAAGAATCTCCTGAAGATTTCAAATACGGTGTACCGATCAATTACTCCTGAGTCCTGAAGAAGTCGAAGAATGATGGGATGGGACACGTAACTTTGTCAGAAATTGCTCACCGTAACTAAGTAAACACGAAGGGTATTATGTATTGGTATTGTCAGTTTGGGAAGTGTGTGTACAATGTAGTATGTATTAATAATGTGGAAAGCGGGAATCTTCGCGTCGGATATAGAAGGCTGGCCTTATCCAAGCTTCAAAAGTTTAATTGATCTAATTCTCGATTCTCAACACAGACGATGGACTGAATAGATCAGAGCTTTCATATCATATCATACATATCACATCATGTCAAATCATATCACTCATAGAGTCGTCCCCGATGTGTCAGGCCGAGTTGTGGGATGCAAACGCCACGCGCATTATTAGTTGCATGGGGGGAGAGTTTGACTTCGGTGCTCCGTAGCTGTTGGGTTGGGTGATGTGACTGTATAGTATGTACCTAAGTAGATAGCAGATAGCAGATACTAGATAGTAGATACTAGATATTAGATTAGATACTAGATACTAGGTGACAGTGTTGTATTTTCCCTTTCCTTGTTTGCCCTTGTTGCCCTTGTTGACCTTATTGACGCAGGGGGTTTCGTTTTCATTTTCATTCCTTAATTCCTAAAGAGTAGTAAATGGATCCATTGCGGACATTTTTTGGCTTCCTAAGTCCGAGAACGTTCCTAACTCCTATGATTGTCGAGTCAATAAAGTTTGGATTGATGGGATATCTGACTAATGAATGTGCTCTAAATCTCTTATCCTTGCTTAGAAATCAGAAGTTGGAATACCCCCAGCCAATCATTGTCCGACAAGGGGAATAAGGCTGCTTTGACTGCCGCAATACCGGCAAAATTAAAGGTTCATGCCGCTTTTATGGAGAGTTGGATGGAAAAGCCACGAACCATCAGAAACTTCCTGATGTTTTCTGATGCTTTTTTGTTCTGGAAGCTGTGAAAGAAATAAAAGTGGCCCATGCTATCATCTTTTTACGTTAGTCCGATAGTCCGTTAGTGACTCCGTTAGTCAGTCCGTCAGTCTGTATGTAGCATGAGCTCCAGCTGCCTTACAAACCAACCAAAAAAAAAAAAAAAAACCTAACTAGGTTACGGGTATACTTATGGGGTTCAGCGGGACAGCGGGTCCTTTTCTCATTTAATTACACTGCGCGGTCCAGCGCTACCCCCACGATTACTCATATTCACTCATGTTGAGCGAGGAACAAACAGGAGGAATCATGTTTGTCGATGCCTGCGTTTGGCGGCGCCAGCTTGACAATAGGTGAGATGGAGTAAAACATTGTCTGCCGGGGATGCATAACTCTAGACCTCACCCCCATCATCTATGAGTTGATGACTCCACGAGTTTCCATCATAATCACTACGCCGTATAGTATACACTGCACAGCAAGTATACATGCATTATGATACATTTTATCCACCAAGGGGGCGAGTGTTTGCAGAAGATCTGCAAGGATTTGAAGCACCCCCCGACACGGTGGACCCGGTGGATTGTTGGACCGCGCTCCTCAAGCTTCCATGCAAGATGCCAAAAAGGCGCTAATGATACATACCTGGTACTTATTCGATATTAAATCCGAGTGGGACTTTCTTCTTTTTATTGGGAAACAGTATCTATATGAAAGGGTCCCTGCCAGATCTCAGGAAAGTCTTCTCAAGCTTACACCCTTTGCTTGTTTCTTGTTGTTTCAAAACCATTGTGTTTATTTTTTAATATTGCTAATTTGGTCCCTTTCCTCACACATCGTCCATCCGCGGACACTGGAGTCGCTGTATAGCTCAGTGATTACCACTTAATATACATATATCCTCATACACACCAGCTAAACATACGATACACACGTCACCATGGAAAGAGATTTCCAAGATCGTCCTACATCCAAGGACGAAACACGATCCTTAGCCGCAACTACAAACACTGCTCGCGAATCAATCGAAGACGCCGAAACTCACCGAGAAAATGTGAGGAACGCCAATCCCAATGGCTTCGTCAGCACCAATCAGGGCATTGATGTCAAAACTGCCGAGGCCGAATTTGCGCAACTTCAGCGCGAGTTGACGGGAATTAGTTCCAAGAGCAAGGCATTGTCTAGGACGAAGTCTAACGCGTGACGAGAGGATGTGAGAGACTGGATTCATCTGAAGAGTCGGAAGAATTCGATTTAGAGGGACACCTTCGAGGTAACAGGCAGGCGGAAGAAGATTCTGGCATTCGTTCAAAACACATTGGAGTGATATGGGATGGCCTCACAGTTCGCGGGACAGGTGGCGTGTCAAATTTTGTCAAGACATTCCCTGATGCATTTATCAGTTTCTTCAACGTGGTTGAGACTGCGATGAACATCTTTGGTATTGGCAAGCAAGGCAAAGAAGTAAAGATCTTGCAGGATTTCAGGGGAGTAGTGAAACCTGGAGAGATGGTACTTGTGCTTGGAAGACCTGGTTCTGGTTGCACAACTTTCTTGAAGGTCATTGCAAATCAAAGATTTGGTTACACCGGTGTAGACGGGTAAGTTTTGATTTTATCCTTTCGAGTTTGCTTGAATGATTCCGATTGTTTGCATACTCGCTTTTTCCCAAAGATTGGCCAATTACTCACAATTTTTTACAGGGAGGTACTTTACGGCCCCTTTGAAGCTCAGGAATTTTCGAAAAAATATAGGGGAGAAGCAGTCTACAATCAGGAGGATGATGTCCATCACCCCACTTTAACTGTAGGTCAAACCTTGGGTTTTGCTCTTGACACAAAAACTCCAAGGAAGCGCCCCAATGGAATGTCCAAAGGGGAATTTAAGGAGAAGGTAATCGATACACTTCTACGAATGTTCAACATTAGTCACACTCGTAACACGGTTGTGGGTAATGCCTTCGTTAGAGGTGTTTCTGGAGGAGAGAGAAAGCGTGTGTCCATCGCGGAAATGATGATCACCAGTGGTACAGTCTTGGCCTGGGATAACAGTACAAGAGGATTGGACGCTTCGACCGCTCTCGATTACGCTAAATCTCTTCGTATTATGACGAACATTTACAAGACCACAACATTTGTTTCGTTGTATCAAGCAAGTGAAAATATCTACAAGCAATTCGACAAAGTCTTGGTCATTGATGATGGAAGGGAGGTCTACTTTGGACCAACAAGTGAAGCGAGAGCCTACTTCGAAGGCCTCGGCTTCAAGGAGAAGCCCCGTCAAACCACCCCCGATTTTTTGACTGGTTGTACCGATGAGTTTGAGCGTGAGTATGCAACTGGTCGCTCTGCTGCAGACTCGCCACACAGCCCTGAAACTTTAGCTCAAGCGTTTTTGGATTCCAAGATCTCAACTCGCTTAGGCGAGGAAATGGATGTCTACAGAAAACAAGTAGCTGCGGACAAGAAAGCGCATGATGATTTCGAGGTTGCTATTTTGGAAAGCAAACGCAAGGGAGCATCGAAAACTTCCGTGTACTCTGTTCCATACCACTTGCAAGTCTGGGCATTGATGCAACGACAATACTTGATTAAGTGGCAAGACAAATTCTCTCTGGTCGTTAGTTGGGTTACTAGTATTACTGTCGCTATTGTTTTGGGTACCGTGTGGCTTAATTTACCCACAACTTCTGCCGGAGCATTTACTAGAGGCGGTCTTCTCTTCATCTCGTTATTGTTCAATGCTTTCCAAGCGTTCTCCGAATTGGCATCTACTATGTTGGGCAGACCAATTGTCAACAAGCATAGGTCATACACGTTTCATCGCCCGTCCGCACTTTGGATTGCTCAGATTATAGTCGACACTGCCTTCTCTGCCGCCCAAATTCTGTTGTTCTCAATCATCGTATACTTTATGTGTGGTTTGGTAAGAGAAGCTGGAGCATTCTTTACATTCTACATCGTCATCCTCTGTGGTTATTTGGCTATGACTCTCTTTTTCAGAACCGTCGGATGTCTTTGCCCTGATTTCGATTACGCGATCAAGTTTGCCGCCACAATCATTACCTTTTTCGTCATCACATCGGGTTATCTCATTCAATATCCAACTGAAAAGGTCTGGATTCGATGGATCTACTGGATTAATGCGCTTGGTCTTGGATTCTCAGCTTTGATGGAGAACGAGTTCAGCCGTCTTGATTTGAACTGTACAGGCTCCTATCTTGTCCCATCCGGTCCAGGTTACGATAACATTGACAATCAAGTGTGTACGCTTCCTGGCAGTGTGGCTGGATCAAACGTCGTTTCTGGTAGCGAATACATTACACAAAGTTTTGCCTACAAGCCATCTGAACTCTGGAGAAACTTCGGTATCATCATTGCTTTGATCGCTGCTTTCTTATTCACAAACGCAACGCTCGGCGAGTGGGTTTCATTCGGTGCCGGCGGTAATGCTGCCAAAGTATATCAAAAGCCTAACAAGGAACGTGATGAGCTCAACCAAGCATTGGCCGCCAAACGCGATCAACGCCGTGCCACAAAGAGTGAAGAAGGAGGCTCTGAAATCAGCATTAATTCAAAAGCTATCTTGACCTGGGAAGGATTAAATTACGATGTACCAACTCCTAATGGAGAATTGCGACTTTTGAAAAACATTTACGGCTACGTTCGACCAGGTGAATTGACGGCACTTATGGGATCCTCAGGTGCTGGAAAAACAACACTCCTCGATGTTTTGGCTTCAAGAAAGAATATTGGTGTCATTTCCGGTGATGTTCTTGTCGATGGTATTAAGCCAGGTAACTCTTTCCAAAGAGGAACTTCTTATGCTGAACAACTTGATGTCCACGAGGGAACTGCTACCGTCCGAGAAGCACTTCGATTCTCTGCTGATCTTCGTCAACCTTACCATGTCCCACAAGCCGAGAAGTACGCTTACGTCGAGGAAATTATAAGTCTTCTTGAGATGGAAGATATGGCCGATGCAATCATTGGAGATCCAGAAAAATGGTCTTGCTGTTGAACAACGAAAACGTGTCACTATCGGAGTCGAATTGGCCGCCAAGCCAGAGCTCTTACTTTTCTTGGATGAACCCTACTTCTGGTCTCGACTCTCAAAGTGCCTTCAACATTGTTCGTTTCTTGAAGAAATTGGCGAATGCCGGACAAGCTATTCTCTGTACTATCCATCAACCTAACGCAGCATTGTTTGAGAACTTTGATCGTCTGTTACTTCTTCAGCGTGGAGGAAGATGTGTCTACTTTGGTGATATTGGAAAAGATGCTCATGTACTCCTTGACTACTTCCACAGACATGGAGCTGACTGCCCTCCTGACGCTAACCCTGCTGAGTGGATGCTTGATGCTGTTGGTGCTGGTCAAGCCCCAAGAATTGGTGATCGTGACTGGGCTGATATCTTTGCCGATTCTCCTGAACTCGCAAACATCAAAGACCGCATTTCTCAAATGAAAACCGAACGTCTAGCCGAAGCCGCCAGTAACGCTCAACCTGACGAGCGGGAATTCGCTACGCCACTACTACATCAATTGAAAATTGTGCAGGCGCGTACCAACTTGGCTTTCTGGAGATCTCCCAACTACGGTTTCACTCGTCTCTTCAATCACGTTATCATCTCTATCATCACTGGTCTTGCCTATTTGAACCTCAACGATTCAAAGGCTTCATTACAATATCGTGTATTCGTCATCTTCCAAGTTACCGTCCTTCCCGCGCTCATTCTCGCTCAAGTCGAACCTAAATACGCATTATCCCGTATGATTTACTACCGAGAAGCATCTTCCAAAATGTACAGTCAATTCGCCTTTGCATCATCTCTAGTCGTAGCCGAGATGCCTTACTCGATTCTCTGCGCCGTTGGTTTCTTCCTCCCACTTTACTACATGCCTGGTTTCCAGACCGCATCCAGCCGCGCCGGGTACCAATTCTTCATGATCCTCATCACCGAACTCTTCTCTGTAACCATGGGTCAAATGATCGCAGCACTCACTCCCTCCCCCTACATCTCCGCCCTCGTCAATCCCTTCATCACCATTACATTCTCCCTTTTCTGCGGTGTCACTATCCCCAAACCTCAAATCCCAAAGTTCTGGCGCGCATGGCTTTACCAACTCGATCCCTTCACTCGACTCATCGGTGGAATGGTCGTCACCGAGCTTCAAGGTCGGGAAGTCACATGCACACCTGCGGAACTCAGTCGTTTCAATGCTCCTTCCGGTCAAACGTGCGGACAGTACATGGAGAAATATTTCTCCAGCGGAGGTATTGGGTACATTGTTAACAATGCCACCAGTGCTTGTGAGTACTGTGCATACAAAGCTGGAGAACAATTTTACGAGCCCTTGGGTTTCGAGTTTTCAAATAGGTGGAGGGATTTGGGTATCTACTTGGCATTCATTGGAAGTAATTTGATCATTCTGTTTTTGGCTGTGAGTAACCCCCACCCCTTTCTTTCTTCCTTTCTGAGAAGAATATTTACTAATATTTTAATAGTCGAGATACTTGAACTTCAATCGTCGTTAAATACCTTGTTGCTTTGCTTGTATCGATTTACTCGCATTGTACAACGCACCGCAGTTCTTTTTCACATACCACTCCAATCATTACCAGCGTAAAAGTCATTTTTAGGAAAACACAGTTTGAGTATATTTTTAGCGGCATATAGATTATGGGTAGGAGTACGTGTGGAAATTTTTTCTCTTTTTTTGATATATATATGTATGAGGATGCTCGAATGCGGGGTTTGGAAGGTTTCATGAGAGGAGGAGAAAGAGAGAGAGAGAGGATAAAAGGAGAAGAGGAGAGATTCATGTTTCATGAACGACTTTTAATGTATGATGTATGCTTTTGTATGTATGTAGATTATGGATTTGGATGAGGGGATTATATATACACACTATCTTTTTATGAGATGAGAGGAGCGGGGTTGTCAGGTCCTTCATGAATAAATAGTTAGATTAGTTAGATTAATTGAATAGATAGATCACTTTTTAATAGATAAAACATTTTACTTTTTGATTTTTTTTTTAGATTGAGTGAGATGGTGTTACGAGGTTTGCCGTCTAGATCACGTGGAAGTGCTCTAGGCTCTCGAGGTGGTTTATAACTAGGCGTCAAGCAGGGACTTAAAGTAATGACAATAATGCAATTCGTAACTAATAGTAGAGTATACTAAATGATTGATCTTGAGCACGAAGCTCTATACAAAGGGAATCCATCTTGATTATATAGACCTTCGTGCCTATGGCTAGTCTGGACCGCCAGCGCTCCTCAGCGGTCCGTAACGTGACTTAAGGTCATGTTACCCTAAGTTAGTCATGTGACGCGGCGTTTGATGATAACCGTCATAACACTAACAGCTGATCTGTCCATACGAGCTCGGGCCATCTGGAAAAGCAAGTAGATTCACATATAAAACTATATGGCAATTGACTCATGTGGGTCTCCCCATTATAAGCAGCATAGACATCGAATCTGATCGAAGACACGTGATCAACGGATCCCACTGAGCTGAGGATCCCACTATGGTGGGAATTATTCCCACCTTGATGGGATGATAAAGGGCAGTGGGATGCATAGTACGAAGGTCTATATAACTGGAAAGAGTTTCCTTATTGTAGAGCTTCGTGCTCAAGATCAATCATTTAGTATACTCTACTATTAGTTACGAATTGCATTATTGTCATTACTTTAAGTCCCTGCTTGACGCCTAGTTATAAACTACCTCGAGAGCCTAGAGCACTTCCACGTGATCTAGACGGCAAACCTCGTAACATATATATACTTTAAATATATTCGGCTAATCCTCGGTTAAACCCTTTACCCCTACTTAGCGTATAATCTATAATAATAATAGTTTAAGCTAGAGTAGTTTCGGATAGTTTATCATATACAACAATGGGAGAGAGAAAGATTCCATGATGTAGGTAGATAGATTGGATAAGGTTGGAAAATGTTAATCCTGGGGCTTCTGGCATTGTAAGATTATCTCGAGTGCTTGCCCCTCGATTAGCTCTTATACTATATCGGGAGGAGGATCTAGAAATTCTTCTCCAGTGAAGATTAATATTCTATATCGGTGCCAATAATCTCAGAGTATGAGGACGGCATGGCGGGATGGAATATAGAATGAGAGGGAAGTGTACTGGTGAATTTCTCATACGCTCACATGACCTTCAATGCTTTTTATACACCAAGTATCGACATTTACTCGTACAGGATATAGATGATGAGTTAATGTTATGATACAAATTACCCCGATTCGTGATTGAATAGCTTGTAGCCAATCGGGAATTATTAGATATTCTTGTTGCATATCTACTTATTTACGGTACAGATGAATTCCTGCACCTAGCTAGGCGAATGCTTTGTGTAATCTTACAAGTATCTAGATCCAGTAAGGTTCGGATTTGGATCTCTTCAGATTTACCATTTTCGGAAAGATAGTAGCAGTGACTGTAGGGCCGGATGAGATGAGCAATCGAATCATACTCGGAGTCTTCACGAGGCTTTTACAGTTTCAGATTGTTGGGGTAGTGTAATAGTGATATCTTGATTTTTTTAGGTATAGAATATCTAGTACCTCCGTAACCTCGACCTTACACTGGCGAAAGTTGAGATGAACCCATCCTGTTGACCTCCTGGGATCTTGGCAGCATATGCATGTATATTACATGATGCATATAAGGAGCAAACAAAACTCAACTTTTAATTCATTCTTTCCTTTTTGGTATACTGTTTGTTTGCTTTCAATATTTTGATTTCAAAGCACTTTAATTCCGAAGGCTGAATACCTAACCTTATTCCTTCATTTTTTTTGAATATATACTCGCAGCTTAACTGCTTAGCTAGAGAATCAATCAATTCAATCGGATGCTCTTTCTGGTCTCAAGAAACCCAATACATCCAGTCAGCATACATAGAATTAGGTCAAGGAGAAATCGCAGCTTGGAGACACATTTCTTGTATCACAATTTTCAGGGAAAGGCCTCACCTCAATGAGAGAGATATGCTGCTACAGCATATCCGATATACAAGATCGGAAAAGATCAAGGTAAGTGTTACTCAATACGCACTTAAAACAATCAATCCATTAACCCTATCATAATGCCCCTTCCATTCTGCACGCACAGATAAGGTTATCTCAACGTTTCACAACCTGAAATCGCCAAGAAGAAGTGTCTAGTGGGGTTCGACGGACACTAATAAAACACTAAGAAACCATTCAACACCAACTAATCGTATCCACCGTCCAACCTCAGATTACATGACACGCTAAACGTATCAAAAAAAACCCGAAGGAATCTGTTCTCCTCTATTACAGAAAAATCTGAAACAGTAGAAACAATCGAATAGTAGGAAGAATAGCGACTATAATGAAAATCAAACATTTACCTCCTTCGCTTACTCCTTCCTCTTGTTTATTTCTTGTCCCTATTCCCGCTTTGAAGTGTGTAGCGCACGCCGAAACCGTATATCCATGTTCGTATTCTTACATGTATCTTAGTTGAAGTTGAGATCGTGGTGATTTGTTTTGTTTTGATTTTATTTTGTGTGGGTGGTTGGAGTCAAAGCTACATTACTAGGTGAAGTTATCCATCTGTTAGAAATTAAACATAGCTAGGTACTAGGTAGCTAGATGAATAAATGCAAATCTTACATACATAAATATATACACAGCACCAAACCCCCGGGACGCATTCCACGCACCCAATACATACTAATCCTATAATAATCCTACAATCATCCCTCCTCCCAAAGGAACCCCCCAAAAAGCAAATAACAATCAGCAAAAAATGGCGCAAAAACCTCCTCGTATTCTCGAATACGAACGACAAGCCGAACAACGCGCAAAAGAACAAGATGAAATGGCACTAGCTCAAGATCGCATGTTGGAAGCTCAATCACGTATTCAAGATGAGGCGAATCGGATTGCGCAGGAACAGTATGAGATGGAACAGTATTATGAGACGGAGGCGTTGAAACATGCAGAGGAGATGAGGTTGCATCTTGAGGAGGTGAGGAGACATGAGGGTATGTTTTTTTTTGCTGGTTTTTCTTGAGGGGGGAAGGATGTAGGTGGATTTTTGGGGAGTTGGGAATGGAGGAGCTGAGTGTTTGGGATGTTTAGGAGAAGAGAAGAATCTAACGAAACATAATAGAATTTATGAGGAAACATGAACGGAGACTTAAAGATCATGAGGCGAGTATGGAGGCTTTTGCAAAGGTTATTGCTATGCCTGCGAAACCGACGAGGGCGAGACAAATTTCTTTTATGGCGTCGCAGAATTTTGGTGGGGGGAGTGGGATTGGGAATGGGAATGCGAATAATGGAGGGAATGGGAATGGGAGTCCCAATGGAAATGGAAATGGAGTTCTTATGACACCGCCGAGATTACAACCTGCGTTTCCGGGTTGAGGAGTGAGATGGAGTAGGAGAAGAAGGAGATCGATTGATTTGATTTGATTTGATGAATGGATAGGATGGATAGGTATGGATATACTTTGTTCGTGGAGAATAGGTTGACCTGAAGTAGATGGGTAATGATGTTTCCACGAGAAGCTTGGAGACGAGAACGACAAAGGGAATTCGAAAATATCGATGAAGAGGATACCACGATGAAAGGCTCACGCCTTGGACACAGAGGAAGATAACTTCTCTGTCCAAAAGTTTCTCGAGAATAAACTTTTCCATAAATGGGTATTCGATAGAAGTTCCTTCCCCGATAATCACCCACTAAGACGCGATGCAGAATGCAGCAATACTATCGATCTTTCATCTACGGAATAGACAGGAATCGTAAGCATGGTATAGCAGAGGGAGCGGAGTTTATTAGGTTACTGGAATTTTGAAGCGGGAATAATGTTTTTGATGGAATGGATAAATGATTGATGGATTACGGATTATGTATATGAAGGATTGGAGGGGTGTTTGGGATGGGGATTCTTGGAGAGTTTACCGGTTGGTAGGTGTGGAGGGGTGTGTAATTATGGTATTTATTTTTGCTATGAAAGTGGTTATAAAAATCTTAAAAACTTATTGCTTTTCGAGTATTGGGATTTGGATGGGTGATTTATGGTTTAATTGTGATTTTTGGATTTTAGATTCTTGGATGATGTTGATGTGATGTACTATGATATGCTTATTCACAATGGAGAAATTTATATTTGTAGCTTCATATCTTGCATAACCATAATGCTCTGAGGCCTAGATCTAGGCCATAGAAACTTGCACTTGATGCTTTTAGAGACTTTATCAACTAATTCTGCTATCCTCGCAATCTAACTTCAATATTAGCCTCATGACCAAACTGATATTTCGCCCGCATCTCTATTTCCATTTCCATTCCCGTACACACTCACCCACTCATCACTAATCTCTTTCCTCTGCTTTTACACAAAGGTTATTGGTCCAGCCACATATATCACACTCTCTTCCCTTCCTGATTCCTTTTCTTCCCCTTCCCCTCCCTCCGTCAACCTCCTCCCCTCCATCACCCCCCTTACCCCACCCCACCCCACCTACCCAACCCAACACCTTCCTCAAACACAAAACCATACCCCTTCATCCTCCTCCTCTTCAACCATAAAATCTCCCTCTTTCTCCCCCAAAAGCACCACAATAACAATCCACTCTCTCTCAAATCCCATAATCTCACTATCGATACTCATTCCAATCCTCACCACCCTAACCATGATCTTCCATCCACTTTCCTCAAATACTTTCCTGTAATATTGATCTAAAACATCCATATTGAAACTCGGTATTCGAAAGAATATTAAGTTTAGTATTTTGCATAGGATTACAAATCTACCTTTTTATATTTGATTCTTGTGCTAAGGGGCGGGGCGGATTTGAGTTTTTGTTATATTTTTGACTGGGGTTAGAGAGAGAGGATGAAGGGGAGATGGGAATCGGTAATGTAGTTGTGTATTGGTAAGAGGGCTTGCAATTTGGAGAGGTGGGTAGTAATTCAGGGATTTGAAGGAGGGAGTGTCGAGATTATTCCTGGAGTGGGTGGTTTGAAGAGCAGTGGATTGTTGGGGTTGGGGATGATGTTGGATTTTGGGAGGGTCAGGATGAGGTGGTATAGGATAGGGTGATTTATCCAGATAGATGTTTGAGCTGGAGACTTCGAATTTTAAGCTGGGGAAGAGGGGAAGTAATTATAGCACGGGAGATATATCGAGTCGCCGTTAGATTTTCACAAAAAGGTAACAAGATCTTAAAGAAATATTTCCAGGGACCATGATTTATGTAAGCTTGAAAGCTTGAATTTCATATTTTTGTACACTTTTACAGCATTATAAGCAAGAGGTTGAATTTTGAAGAATCCATGAATCCATAGTAATATTTTGGAAGAAGTGCATGACGATCAAGAAACTCTTCGGGGTACAGGATTAATGTGCCACTTATTGATGAGAGATCACACATGGAGAAGACTGTGAGATATATCAAATACTTCCGGCCGCGCTAGTGAGAAACTTCATTTGTGGATCTTGAGCTGACTGAGAAAACTGATGTGTTCTACTGCTATGGACTTGTGGTTCTGAGATGGGAGATTTATTTTATTAAGTAAATCTCATTATAATGATAAGTGGTGATGGTTATGATTAATAGATTGCTCCTTTGTATTGGAGGTATGAATTTAAGCTTCAAATCCAACGAGAGTCAATTTTTTTAAATTTTTTAAATTTTTTGGAGACTATCTGACCTTGGCAATAAGGTGCCATTTCTAGCTTTATTTCTCCTCAGACTATCAATCGGCCAAATCCTACCTAGTAGTGGCATTAATCAAAAAGGCCGAAGGAGGAACCATTAGTCAATCGACTTTATTTGTTTCGAGAGATGCTAGAACTCATCCCCGCTTGGTAGATGGTTTGATCTATATGTATGGTTTTCGAGAAGTCATAGACTTACGCTGACTTAGCAAGTGTTGTATTTTCGCTGCCAAAGGTGATTGAGGAGGTTGTCAGTGTCTGGAGTTAGAGTGAGATAAGAACCCGATGCTGTGTGGCGGTGGCTGGAAGTTTGGCTGTGAGTATCTATCTTAGTGGTGAGTATCAAATAGCAAGGTAGAGATAGAATAGAGATCTAATTCTATACCGATGGGTTGACCTATCATAATTTGGTTTAGGAGTATAAGGTGAAGGATATATATATTCCTTGTGAATCTAGACAAATCATTATCTTCCTTCGTGGTAAGCTATCGGGAAGGGAAATTATCATATTGCTCCCTCCGACATTCTTAGTCCAGAGATTGTACATTCAGTGAAGACTTCGAGTCAACGAGAGCTTGGTTGATCCCAGCAGTATACATTCATACTCTACGCAAAGGATGATGGGCAAGCGTGTATCAGCTAGCCATGAATGCCGACGTTGAAGAATGAAAGAGTAAGTCGTTATGAATGGAAAATGGGAGATTGAAAAACGAACAAGTTGATTATGAATGATCAAGCTGATGCTACCAATGAAATATATCGTCGTCACTACACCTACGAGAGAGAAATATTTCACATAACCTACCCTACTACTCCGTACTTACTTTACTTACCTTGAGGCATCTTTCGCACAGGGAAGGGATTCCAGATCTCAAGACAAGTTGATCATATATGATGGTTGAAAGGTGTGTCATTGATGGAAGAAGAATGTTGGCAAGATGCAACTAGATATAGATTTGGAATAAAGCACAATTTGACAAGAGACAGGAAGAGACGGAGAAAATCTTATACCACAGAAGGCATACACATCATCAAGGAGATCACTACTCCATGATAATGATTATTGCGAGACTATTCGACTGTAGTCTTGACAATGATACTGGATCATGGTGTTTTACATGACTAAAATTTTGAGATATAATACAATGTCTCAAATATTTAACTTTCGCTTGGAAGCACCTTCAAAAGGGCATTTGATTCATTGAATTGACCAACTATAGACAATCCATCCATCCGAGGATAATGAAATTCAGAGAACAACGCTCTTCTGTTGAAACACAATAGAGGTAAAAATGCTTCTTGAAGTTTAAAATAATATCCTCGCAGCGAAGAAGTAAAGTATTCGAATGTTCTTTCTTTGTTCACCGCCGCGTTTTGATATGGACAAGCTTCCCCTATATTCTTTGATGTGCTCAAATCCATTACCATTTGCTGTATATACCTATATTTCTTCCATTAAGAGTCAAAGAGCGAAGCGAAAAAGCCTCCACGGCAGTGGCCAAGCGGAGCGTCATCAATCAAAAGCTTCTTTCACATGTCCCTTTTATGGGGGCAAGCCCCCAAACCCCCGTCCTCGCTGCGCTCGATTGGATTTTGATGAAATGATGCTCGAGTAATAAAAGAAAGAAGATTGTAAGATTACCTACTGGTGTACCTACTAGTGAAGAATATTCTGGGCAGGAAGGAAGACTTGTTGTTACTACTAGGTAGATGTTCAATACAATTTCCTGTAGCTACCTATCGAGTGATGAAATATGAATCTTTATATAACATTAAATCTCTAACTGGATAATAATAAATAATAATTAAATGCATATAGCCAAGCTCAAAAACATAAAATCATACCACTTGAACAAATAGAGTTTAGTTAATTTTCATTAATGCCACTAAAAAGCAGCTTAGTATAACTAAATTCCTGCGGGACGACCCCATCATACGATAAAATCAGACCACTACGGCGTTATCGGTCGATAATCATCCACTAGAATACTTTCAATACGTCCGCACATCCATTCTCCAATACACCCAAATGCTCGCCCCAATCTAAACTAACTCCAAACATCTTCAAACATTTCCAAACATTTCCAACCATTTTCAACCATTTTCAACCACCAGAACTAATCTTGCAAATTTCAACCTCTCAGGATGAATCTTTCACTCTCTTCTGTCCAAAATTAAATTTATTCCAACTTATTATATTTCCTAATTTTACTAAATTTACCAAGTTTATCCCCATTCACTACCAAACATTCGCAAACTTGTCTAATTTCGTACATCTTTGTGCATAATTCAATCCTTGTTTTACGGAGTTCGATTCTGACAACCTTCCATTTCCTAACTAATTGGATCAAAATATCAAACCACTTTCTCACTTTCTCACCATATACCCAGATTTCCAGATTTCCAGATTCCCCATAATCTGCCATAAGATATATCTCCTCCAGGTGACGTGCCTAATCATGGCATCTAAGATTTCTTCATTCGATCCGACCTTGTCTGGGATATCAGCCGGTCTCGATTCCTCCAATGAATTTGATCAAACAGCTGTTTTCGCAGATTCACTAGGCCTCGACGACGATCCTTTGTTTCCCACAAACTGGGACGAGAATACCCCGCCTTACGACGGTGGTCTATATTCGACCCCGTTGAATTGGGATCCCCCTCCAATGCCGAAACAAGAAGACCTTCAGGACATAGGTCCAACATACAATAGTATGAACTCCAACGGTGGACTTACTGCTGCTCAACAGGAGAAGTTGCGCGATATTGCAATGCCACCGCACCTACAATACCAGAGTCAACACAGTCCCATCTCCACCACTTCCAAGAGCAATTCCATTTCGTCGCCCGAATCGCAAGATATGAGCCGCAAACGCAAATCATCCGCAGAGGCCGACGAGGACGACGAGGATGAGTCTGGAGGTCAACACCCACCGGTCAAGAAGACGGCTCACAATATGATCGAAAAGAGGTATCGCAATAATTTGAACGACAAGATCGCAGCTCTTCGGGACAGTGTACCGAGTCTCCGGATAATGCAGAAGAGCGCTCGTGGTGAGGTTACGGCTGATGATCGAGATGAGTTACAAGGTTTAACTCCCTGCTCATAAATTGAACAAAGCAACAGTGAGTCTTTTCTTGGTCCTATCACGCGTTTGTGAGTCGATCTACTATCTGCGGCTGTGATAATGGCTTCAAAACATGTCATGTCATGCGAGTCTCAAAATCACGCCACTATTTTCTATCTTCACCATTCATCCAAGGTTCAGCCTCATGCTAATCATCACCCCTAAATAGGTCCTCTCCAAGGCTACTGAATATATTCGACATTTAGAGAAGCGCAATTCACGTTTGCAAGATGAGAATAATCAAATGAAGACACGCATCAACGCCTTCGAAAAGCTCTTTGTATCTGGATCCATGGGTTTCGGTCCCATGCAGCAACCAATGAATCCATATCAATACGCTCAAGATTTCAACACCCCAGGCCCTTCACCTTCCTCCGATCAAGGTATGATACCTGTACCAGATGACATGCGAAGATTACATGGTCAAATGAATCAAGAGGCTTTTGCCGTTCCCACACAATACATCAACCGTCAACCAATCGGTCCTAATGCATGGAATGGGGGATACTTTGGCAAGCTCATGGTCGGATCTCTTGCGGGTCTCATGCTTATGCAAGGCTTCTCAGAGGCAGAACAAGACACTGATACACCTGGCGCTCGTGGTCTCATGGCTCTTCCCAGTCAATTTCTTAGAGCCTTGAGCCGTGGTTTTCATTCAATGTTGGAGGTCAACTTTCAAGGATATCACCTTCCAGCAAGCCAAACTATCCACTACCTTCAATACTCGCTTGCACTCGGTCTTCTCCTCTACATCTTCCTCCCTTCTTTATTCAGCCCTAAGCCAAAAGGAAAAAGTTCCAAGTCCGCTAATTTAGTCGCCGCACCATCACTCGCCTCTTCTATCCAAGTTAGGAGACAAGCTTGGCTTACAGCGGTTCAAACTGTTTGGGTACCAAGACACAATTTCTTCCTCGAGGCCGCTGCTCTATGTATGAAGGTTGGAAAGTGCGCGTGCCGCAACCTCGTGGGACCCTCGCTCTATTCCTTCTTGACTGGTACCACCGAAGAGCAAGAAGTTGCTCGGATCAAAGCCTGGTCTATTGCTCTTGATGCCCAACTAACTGGTGGTGATGTTGAAGTCAGCAAAAGTCGTTTGACATTGACACTATTGGCATCTGGTACACTACCTGATACCCCAGCACGCTTAATGCTCAAAGCATTGCACATTCGTGTTTTATTGTGGGAGTTGAATAAGATTGGATTCTTCGGTTTCAACTTCATTAGAAACTGTGCACAGGAATTGGCTAGATGGAAATGGAACGAGGCAAAGCAAATGCAGCAACTGCTGTCACAATCCAAAGAGCAACATGACGAACTTCCTGAATATCTTGCTACTCTTCTTGAGCAAAAATGCGATGATGTCTTGGTAGATACAGTTGTACAACGTGCTTACAACCTCGCATGGAATCTGCCAACTACCAACAACACAAAGGTTAACTGTGGTATGGATCGTGTTGTGGACGATTTTGCCATCCGCAGCCCTCTCGATGCAGTCGCAGCTTGGTGGTCAAGTATGACTCTCCACAAAGCTTTAGCAAAGAGTCTTGAGGTAGAGGATGACGATACTGAAAGCTACAAGACCATTGCCGAAGATATTAAGATTGCCATTCAAACAGCACCTCCTGGATCTGGGGCTCAAATCCGTGCTCTTGTGGCACGTGCTGTTCTCGTCAGAGAGAAGCGTGGACAAAGCATTGCTATGGCTCTCAAGGCAGTTGGTGCCGGGCAACAAAGGATGCCGGTGGAATCAAATGTCAATATCAAAACCTCTGTCGCCAACCTACCAGACATTCGGACCTCAATCCATTGCGCCATGGCCCTTGCTTATTTGGAACGCTTCCCTATGCCAGGTAATCCTGAGAATGCCCCAAAGATCATTGACTCGATCGTCCCAGTCAATCTCACTTTACTTGGCTTCACTGCAATGTTCAAGCTTGTTGAAAAGATGCATGAACACACTCTCATCGCCTCAGCCTGTGCCGTGTCGTTGGAGAAGTTTGCTGGCAATCTCCGAATTTGGATTGGTGGCGTAGACGGTGAGAAGAGTGGTCTGGAGACTGAATTGAAGAGAGAAATGGTGGAAAAATGCTTAACGATTACTGCACAAGTTGTTGGTATGGAAAATGATGCTGGGTATGGAAGCATGAGTGAGGATGGTGATAGTGAGGGATGCTGATGATAATTTTCATTTTTTTTGCAACTTTCTCAAAAATCATGCATACAATAAATCCGAAGAACAGACAATATCTTTTGTCTTGCAGAATTTTTCGGCATTTGGGACGGCAAACGGAATATTTTTTCTTTTTATTTATTGAATCAACTGAAAAGGATACCAGGTATGCAAGTCTCAGGAATGGTGGGCGTTTGAGGTTTGATCTAGATGCGATAGTATCATAGAGCACTGCATTGGGCTAGTTTGGTTTGTGGTTAAATGCATGCGCTCCCTTTTCAATAAATTTTACTCTTCAAATGAATTCCTGGTGCATTTCTCGTGTTTATTATTCTATCCTGATTTTTGTCTGAGAGTAGCTTGTTAGTTGCATAAGCATGCATGCATTCGATGATTTCTTCTCCAGTCTCATAAAAGCCCTCAACTGCGCACAATGTTTCCCCAAAATTATAAGACTAAGAAGCGTGATTTATTTCCAAAGGTAGCATTTCCGACCTTCTCCGCGCTGTGAGTGGGAAATGGTCAATTGACCAATAAATTTACATGTATGCCCGTTTTATCTCTTATCAGGAGCCCCACTCCTATCTTTCATAGAGGAAATTTATCGGGATTTCGGAAATTTTTGGTTAGATATCTTGATGTTTGTTAGGGAGCATTTGAATATGGATATGGATGGATATAGATATGAAGTGATTTTCGTTCGTTCACTCATTCCCCGAGGAAATGTCTTGATTGATGATGGAAGTTTATGGGTTTCCGAGGAGTTGTGGTGGTGAGGGTTTTTTCTTTTGATGGAGTTATTTGGTTTCTGTGATAGCGGTGGTGTGGTTTTGTGGTTTTTTGTGGTTAGGAGTTAGGTAAGGATGGATAGGGATGGATAGGAGGAGATTGGTTTGTTATTATTCATAGGTACTGTGTTTTGTGTCTTGTATCTTGTGTCATGATATGCTATGATATGATATGATGTTTTGGTAA